ACAAGCCTCTCTGATGCATCCTTCTCTGAACAGGGTTGCAAGAAGATGCCACCCTAGGACAGGCTCGGCAGGTACCTGTGGTGCTGTCACCTGACTGTACACCAGGGCCTGGCTGGAGCTCTGGGGAAAATGGAGATGTGGTTCAGCAGAGGCTTTGAGGTTGTGACAGGCATCCTCCCAGGGGGGCCTGAGCAGACACAGGAACGGGATTCCACAGAGGGGATGGTGCGTGCAAAGGCCTTGTGGTGTCTACAGATGGGGTGGCCACAGAGGAAAGGGGCCAAGTGGCAGAAGGAAGGCAGGCAGAGGACAGTGCATGGACCTGGAGGACCCGGGCTTTGCTCCACCCCAGACCTGCTCCGGGAGAGTCCTGTAGCCTCCATTCTGAGGGGGCTGCTTGTGTAGTGCCTTGGTGATGAGATTGTGTCTCCTCCCTCTAGCCCCACTGCCCCACAGAGATGACAGCCTGAGCACTGCACAGGGAGCCCAGACTGGGGCTTTGCTTTTGGCCCATGTGCTCACCCACCGGAAGTGAAAGTGGGGAGGCCTGAGCCCTGGCCCACCCCATGCCGTGGTGAGAAGTGAAAGTCGCCCCAGCCTGGACACCTGCAGGGGCCACTTCCTCCGAAAGCGGGTGCCCGTTCTGGGCTCTGTCCTGCCTTTGCTGCCTGTCACCCAGGGACCGCAGAGGGGGGCCGTTGGGAGAAGACTCTGGCCCTTGGCACAGGGTGGTAGACTGCGCCCTGTCTGGTCCAGCCCTGCCCCTCGCTGTCCTGCATCCCCACCCGCAGGCCGGGTCTCGGTGCCCTGGGGGACGGGGCCTTGGGGAAGCTCAGGGTCTGCTCCGAGCCAGTGCGGGCAGCTGGCTCTCAGGGCGTGTCTGACACCACCCCAACCACCTGGGCAGGAAGAGGGCAGGGGAGGTGGGCCAGCCAGGCCACTCGGCCATCACTGGGCCCTGGGGGGGGCAAGGATCAGCAGGTCAGGTGAAGATACAGGGTCAGAAGTCCCCACAGGGCCCCATCCCTCCCTCAGAAAGCTGTGGCCTCGGTGTCCCCCCACGCTCTGAGCCAGCCCCCAACTGGGTTCGGCCCCTCCGCGAAGACACTTGTCCCCCTTTGGCCCTGCATGCCGTGCGTGTGGTCGTCACGGCTGCCCTCTGCCCCTGCCACAGTGCCGAGGACCGGACGTGGCAGCAGAAGGGACAGGGCTGAGCCACACTGGCCCGCCCTACCCAGGACCAGCGCCTCACTGAGAGCGGCAGAGGGAGGCTTGGGGGAGAGGAGACGGCGGCAGACAGAGGGACAGGAGTGACAGCCAGGCAGGACGCCTGAAGCCACCAGGCCCGGGCGTGGTTTCAGACCCTTGGCCTCCAGGCCACATTTCTGTGCCCCGCGTGCACAGGTGAGGGCCAGTGTCCCTTGGGATTCGTGCTCCGTCTAACTCTGCAGGTGGTTGCTCGTGTCCCTCCCAGCGGGGGGCACAGCTCCCCAGGGGACCCACGCACACCCTCCATGCTTTTGCACATCCTTTGTTGGCTCCAGCTCCTCACATGACACAGGTGCTGCATAAATGGCTGGGACCCTGGGCTGCGCAGGGGAGCAATGGGAACCAGCCTGGAAGGTTCAGTACGGACACCAGGGCTTTCCGAATAGCCCTGCCCTGTGGAGTGAACCCACAGGTGAGAAAGCTTGGGTGGAGTGGGGCTGGGGCAACTGCACTTGCTGCAAAGTCTCAGGAAACTAACCTGGCAGAGGAGCAGATCGCACAAACCAGCCAGGAGGAGGAGGAGGAGATGGCGGAGACAGCCGTGCTTACAGTGAAACTTGCTGCCTGCCCCCCACTTTCCTTTCCAAAGGACCAGCGGCCCGGGCTCAGTTTCCCCCTTGTGCCTCCTCTGCAGCAGGCCAAGCTCTCCAGTGAGTCCTTTCCAAGTCTGTGTCCCTGGTGCTCTGCACTTTGTACCGGGTGGGAAGGCCAGCCACTGTGCTGCCTCAGCCTCCTTGCCGGGTGCCCACCCAGCTCTGCCGCACAGTGGGTGCCCTCATAACTTTGAGCTGCACACACGCCTCTCAAGTCTGCTGCACTCTGGCTTGGCGACGGACCGCGGCCCTGCTGATCGGTGTTGGGGGTCCCTTGAGCTGCTTCAGCCTTGCAGCACCCCAGCCTGAGTTCACAGCGGTCACCATGGGACGCTCCCCGGCCGGCACAGGGGTGGAGACCTCGCCCATGACTCCGGGGACTTGGAGAGGGTCACCCTACTTCCAGCCCAGGTCTCGCCGGCCTCCAGGGTGGAGGAGGCCTTGTGGCCTGTCCTGGGCCAGAGCTGCCGGCCGCTGTGTGCCGCGCCCCGCGCTGCCCTGCTGGTGCTCTTTGCCATGGTGAGTCACATGCCTCCCATCGGGTCCTGGGGTTCATGGAGTGACACGAGTGCCTCCCGCCCGGCAGACCGCGGCTGTGACGCACAGCAGGCTGGCCCTGACCTCTGCTGGGCAGCGCCCGTCCAAACACACCTCCGTCCACAGCTCTCAAAGCCACCACTGCCCCCTTCCCGCCTCAGGGAGCCACACCCCTGGAAGCAGAGGGGCCTGACACCCAAGGAAACTGAGGCCCGGCGAGGGGACCTGGCCCAGGGTGTGCAGCTGTGGGCAGATGGGGCCCCGGCTGGGTTGTAGGTGGCACCTCATCCTCACCTGCACCCTGGGGTTCCCCCCTGGGAGAAGCTGGCCGGCCCTGTACCTTGCACCTGAGCCCCTGCTGGCTGCTGCACTCTCGGCTCTGCGTGGAACGCTCTGGCCCCAGCTGCACTGCCCCGGCTGGCAGCAGAAGCCCTGAGAAACGAGGGCCTGCAGCTCAGAAGGGAGGCCACGTGGCCAGGGCCAGTGCACAGCCGTCCACCTGCCTGGGAGCTCCAGGCCCGAGCTGTGCCTGCCAGACTGGGTGCTGCGAAGGGGCTTCTCAGAGCCAGCTGTTCCCAGGAGAGGAAGGGGCCACCGGGCCAGCCTCTCGCCTAGGCCTCAGTTTCCTCATCTGGCTATACAAAGACTCTGTGCCACCAGCCCCGGTGGAAGACGTGGCCACCCCTCCCGCATGGGCCGGGAGGGCCTCTGGGTGGGGCTGGGACGCAGGCTCAGCACCTGCCAGGCTCACCGGCCACCTGCCCCAGCTGCAGCACTGCCGTGTTGATGTTTGAGGTGGGGCGACGGCCACGCTGTCAACAGAGCTGGGCAGGTGGCAGCCCGGAGACGCCACCTTCCCACCACCTGCTCCAGCGGCCTCAGTCTTCCCGGTCGCCAGCTTCTTACCTGGGCTGCCCTTCCTGGGCCCGCGGGGCACAGATGCCAGGGGCCCGCTGTCCAGCGTGGAGGACGCCTCTGCCATGCCTTGGCCAGGCCCGGGCTGTGGGGTGCTGGCCGCTCTCAGGAGTCGGTCCTGAGCCCTTGGCGACGGTAGGGACGAGTGGGCAGGGCCTGTGCCTGACCCGGAGCCTGCACCTCTGTCTCCAGCAAGCTCCGAGCCCTTCTGGTTGCCGCCGGCCCTGGACCCGGGCTGCGGGTCCTGGGGAAGGGGCGGGAGGCCGCGGCTCATGTGATGGGGCGGGCTCGGGACGGTGGGGGGTGGGGGCAGCCAGCTGTGTCACCCTGATAATGCAGTGGCCATGCAGCTGCACCCTCGCTTCCCCTACAGGAACCATCTGGGCCCTGCCTGCTGCCTCCCACTCGCCCACTCCGCTCTGACTTTCCAACAACTTCCTCTCCCAGCCCGCGCCCCCAGCCTGCAGGTGTGGGGGCGTCTCTGTGACCTCGGGCAGTGTCCATCCTGGGCAGGGCCCCTGGAGCGCTGCTCGGCTTTCTCAGGCCTGGGGACTCCTCACCTGCCCAGCCCACCTGCCCCAGTCACTCAGCTGCCTTTCTTCCTTTGCCCCCCACCCCGGCAGTTGGTGCAGCAGCAGGGCTGGGTGAACCACAGACAGCAGCCTGGTGGGGTGGGACCAGCGGACGGGCAATGTGCCCCAGAGCTGGCAGGAAAAGCCGCTTCCTAGAGGGCTGTGTCAACTGTCAAGGGTGGGCAGGAGCAGGTGGCTTCACAGAAGGGCGGGTCTGGGTGCTGCCGGAGCCCCCGGGACACAGCTCCGCGGTGTCAGGAAGCCTGGGCTGTACTGGGCTGCGCTCCTGTTTTGACGGGTGTGACTTTCAGGCTGTTGGTGCTGGCACAGTTAATGTCCCAGGTCTCCTGGCAGCCTGGCACAGTGTGGCATCCTGGGTCACAGTGGGTCACGGCTTTGAGTGAGACGCTGTCCAGCAGGGACTTCTTGGTGCCAGCCTAGCCCTGCGCTCCCATGACTGGGCAGCGGTCTGCGTCACCACACACCCTGCACCCCAAGAGGGCCGTGCCTTCCCAGCCCCAGCCCGAGGTCCCTGCTGGCCTAGTGTGGTGGTGCTGGGGCCTTCGGGAGGAGCAGCTGCTCTGCATGTCTGTGTCACTCCCACCCTGCAGGGGTCCCCGAGCGAGGGAGCCTGAGGCAGAGCGAGGCCATGGCACAGCCAGGCCGGGGCAGGTGCCCTGCTGCGCACCTCCATCCCAGGACTCTTCCTTTCTCTGCCCTGAGCTCCCTCTCACCTCCTCCTGCTGGGTTCTGGGCTCTGATGGCAGTGGGAGGAAAGAGTTGCCCACAGGCCAGGCTACTGGCACCTGGGTGCTCCTTACTCCCCTCACCCTACCGGGCAGTTGGGGCTGTGGGGAAGCAGACGTTGGCTGCGGCTTTCTGAGCCAGGCGGCCCAGGAGATAAGGAGCCAAGAGGAAGCGGCTGCAGGGGCAAGAGGGGCCACAGCCCCGAGACCACCCCATCTGCTGCCACCCCAGAACCCCCTGACGCACCTCCTCTCATAAGCTGCTCTGGGATCCGTGGGCCAGACAGCCCCTCCCGCCCTCCAGGAACCCTGGAGATAACACCCCGGATAGAGCCTGCAGGGCAAGGGGTACTGCCCCTGGGGATGGGGAATTCCAGGCAGGGCTCTGTCGGGGGCACCCGCAGCCCTTGGGAATCTTCAGGGAATTGGGGGCAGTGGGAAGAGGACCTGGACTGGGGTTGAGAGGCTCTCTAGGGAGGGGTCTCCCAGCACAGTGAACCCCCATCTGCTGGGGGAGTAGATGGATGGATAGTGGATGGATGGGTGGGTGGTGGATGGATACACAAATGAATTCAGTACGGATGGACAGTGGGGCGTGGTGGTGCACACCTGTAATCCCAGCACTGGGGAGGCCAAGGCAGGAGGATCACTGTGAGTTCAAGGCCAGCCTGGGCTACATAGTGAGTTCAAGATCAGCTTGAACTACAAAAAAACAACCACCCCCAAAAAGCAGAACAAAACAACAGCAAAGAAGGATGGATGGGCAGATGGATGGGTGGGCGGGTGAGTGAAGACATGGTCCCAGGCAAGCCCCACGTTAGACCACTTTTCCAAGGAAGGAGGCCCCTGGGGTGAGGTCCCTGTTACAGAGCCCCGAGACCTAGACTCAGTGCCCTGGAGGAGCTGGGCTGGGGCCTGAGGGCCCTGCCTCTGTCCTGTCTGGGCCCCAGGTAGTCAGGAGAGGCTGGCTGGCCCGATGCAACGCGGAGAGACTCAGCAGCACCCCAGAAGCCAGCGGGGGTAGGATTGCTTTCTAAGGTCCTGACTGGGGCATGGGCTGGCCCCGAGCCCGGGAAGGCTGGGCTGCAGCTGGGGTCTTCACAGACCCTCTGGGATCTGGGGTTCTGTGGCGTCTTCCCCCAGTGACACTTTCCCATTACCTTCTGGGGCTCAGGGATGGTTGAGAGCCTCACGTATGCTACTCAGGGCTACACTCCAGCCAGCTCTCTTTATCTCTTATTTTGTGACAGGGTCTCAGTAAGTCATCCTGGGCTGGGTTTAAACTTAAAATCCTCTTGCCTCAGCCTGCTGAGTAGCTGATACTGCAGATGTCCTGGTTCTAGAAGATGTGAACCCTTCATTAGCTGTGTGGAAAGCAGGGAAGAGCAAGAGTCACAATGAGGTGGGAACGCAGTTGGCCCGGAACACCCTGACATCTGCAGCTCTTTGTGTGCCAGATCCTCAGCACAGCAGCCCTCAGGTGGCGCCCACCTGTGGTTAAAGGAAAAGGTGAGGCAGGACAGAGGCCCCTGTGCCCTGCAGGGTCCTGGGCAGGGATGGGTGTCACTGTCTTTGCTGGGTGCTCTCTGGTGGGTTTGGCCTCTCCCCACATGGCAGGGGGACTGGAAGCTGTAAGGTCGGCCTAGTGCTGCCAGGTGAGACAGGAACACACATTACGTCCTGCCATCTTGTCCTGCCCACCTCAGGGTGGCACTCTGGGCGAGAAAGTTTGTCCTAAACATGGCCTAAGTCCATTCCCCTGGTGATCCAACCGCCGGGGCCAGGACCCCGCCTTCCCAGACTTCCACACAATCCTCTGTTGCGTAAAAACTCCTACACGCCTGTGGGAGTCCGTAGGAGCAGCCCTCACACGCTCAGGGTCAGGGCCTGTGTTGCCAGGCTGGGGGCTGGTTTCCCTGGATCAGAGGGAAGGCAGGAGGAAGGGCGTCCCCCTGGTCTTGGCCTCGTCTGAGGCTGCTGGGCAGGCCTCCCCAGGGAGGGGGAGGCTGAGCCAGAGGACTTGCCCCACCGGCTTCTGAGCCTGGCAGCCAGTGCGTGACATCCCTGAGCTCGGGGTTGAGCTCAGTGGCTGCTGTGGGGCAGGGATTGGGGCCCAGGCCAGTCCCCTCTGCAGGACCCTGGAGGAGCCCTCCTTCCTGTGACCTGGCACCAGGGCCAGGCCTGTGGGCACCTCTGCCCAGTGCTGTTTCTCAGCTGTCCCAGGGGGGGTCCTTGCCCTGGTTTCTTTCTGACTCGGGCCGGGGCCTGAGGTTCACATGCTCAGCCTGGCTCAGCCTCAATTTCACTGCCCATGGGCCAGCTGGAGGCTCTGCGGCCGGAGCAGCTGCTGTGCCAGGAGGGGACCCTCTGGGCACAGACCCTGCTCCCCCACACCCTCTCTCTCCTCCCCACCCATTTTGGTGTTAAAGGGGAAGAGACTGGTGTGGCTGCCACGTGGTCTAGAACCTTCTGGAATGTTCTGTCCACACAGTCCCGAGCCTGGGACCAGGCAGATGCAGCCCCTCAGCAGCACTGACCTAAGGAGGGTGGCGGTGCCCTGTGGCTGAGGGCCTCACCACCAGGTCACCGTGGACCTGCCCTCGACCCCCCACAGGGCCCGGGGGACGGGAACCCCCACATCCTGCCTGAAACCCTGCCCCTTGGGAGCACGGGCACTGATTATGATGCTGTCCTTGAATGGACCTTGGAGTTGGGTCAGAAGAATAAACAGCCTGTGTTCAGCATGAGAAACGTTTTGTTGGGATAAATATTTAAATGTCGCATTTCTAGATGCCGAGGGACTCTGACGCCATGCACTGTGGGAAGGGTGACCCCAAGCACCTCACTTGGATCTGTCTGCACACAGCTCCCTGATGCTGCGAGCCGTGGGTGGTGGGTGGTGGGGTCCTCTGCCACCGGCATCTCCTGCTGGCCTTGAGTCCAGGTCTCTTGAGCGACCTCGAGGCCCTAAATTAGCGGAGGAGTCACCTCCACAGCGGGTCTCTTACCCTCTCTTCCCTCCAGCTTTTCTCCAGCTCACATCCTATGGCGGCCTGGACCCAGAGGCCCAGCCAACTGCCAGCCAGGTCCACTCTCTGCCTGAACCAGCTGGTGTCAGGTGTGCCGGCTGTCCTATGTCCCCGTGTCCCCGTGTCCCCGTGTCCCTGTGTCCCGGGGTCCTCCAACCCTGCCACTCCCGGGGGTCTTGTAGACCATGCCTACATCGATGTGGGCTCTGACACACCTGTGGGGCCTCTGACTCACCTGTGAGGGCTCTGACTCACCTGTGGGGCCTCTGACACACCTGAGGGGGGTCTGACACACCTGTGAGGGCTCTGGCACACCTGAGGGGGGTCTGACACACCTACCCTGTCCCACCTTGGGGCTTTGACTCCTGGGCCCAGACTGTCCCTCTGGCTGTGCCTCTTCCTGCCCAAATCCCAGCTCTCAGAAGGTAGGGTGGAGGTGGGAGGGCTCCAGGTCCCAGGACCTGTGGGAATCTCACCCTTGCCGGGCTGTGGCAGGGGCAGCTCTGAGGCCAACATTGGTGAGGGAACCTTTTCCTGTCACCTGTCTGTGAGGACACAGGCGCCCTGCTTGGTTTGTACACACACCCCCTTGGGGCCCAGGAGGCCGGGATGGCCTGTCCCTGCTCTGGGAGGCCTGACAGCCAGGGGCCGCCCCCTGTGTGGAGACAGAGCCAAGTGGAGCCAGTGATGGTGACACTTCTGGGCCTCAGGCTCCCAAGCTTCTGAGCCCCCCAGTACCCCTGGCCCCATGCTTGTTCTGTGGGGAACTCTGTGCTTTCTAGTATTTCTGGATTCAGAGCCATGCAGCATTCACCTCTCTTGCCACTGAATTCCTGTGTGGCTTTC